CTGGAGGGAAACTTTAGCCTTGATCTAGTGGTGAATTTGGGACTGAACCGCATCATTCTTCTAACCCCACTTGTCTTTCTGAGCCAGGGAACAGCTGTGATATTTCCTTTGAAAGAAGCAGAATGCTCTAAGCCTTTGGATGAAAGACTGTTTTGAAGTGGCAGCTGGGGATTTGGAAGGATGAGTTCTATTGTTAAAGGGCAAGTGCGTTACGCTGCTGTAACACCTAGCCCTAACTCCAGATGGTGAGACAGGATGTGGGCTTATTAAAATAATATACAACAGAAATCTTCAGATTTCTTCAAATTTTATCAGATTATATACCAATGTCCCCATGTCAGCTGTTTACGTATTCTGCATCCTAGGTTTTTCTGTAGGAAGCCTTTCCGGACCCCTCTCCAATTTGAATTCTATTTCCTCCTGTCCTTCCGTCTCTCTCTTTTCACTCCCCGCCCCCCCACCATCCACTGGCTTTCCAGCAGCCTCTATCTTGCCGCTCATCACGCTGTGCTATAGAAATTCTGTTACTCGTCTGCCTGCAGCATTAAACTGATCTCCTTGAAGGCAGAGGAGGCGTTTTATTTTATGTTTGTATTCCCAGTGCCAAGCACAGTGCTTAGCACCCTGTGGATCTTCACAAAGTCCTGAGTGAGTGAAATCCAAAGTAAAACTCAGAACCTAGCTCATGTCACAGAAAAGTGAATTTGTGGCAAGTCAAAATTGATCTTCCACAGCTGTGTTCTGTAGTGATGGAATGTCCTGTATCTGTTCGGTCCAACATGGTCGCCACCAGCCCAGGTGGCTGCTGAGCATGTGAAACGTGGCTTATGCAATGGAGGAACTGAAGTTTTGATTTTATTTTGAATAATTTAAATAGCCACATGTGCCTAGTGGCCACCATATTGGACAACACACTCTCAAGGCCATACTTCTCTATCCAATAAGGACCAGATATAACTTTTTTTTTTTTTGCGGTACGCAGGCCTCTCACTATTGTGGCCTCTCCCGTTGCGGAGCACAGGCTCCAGACACACAGGCTCAGCGGCCACGGCTCATGGGCCCAGCCGCTCCGTGGCATGTGGGATCTTCCCGGACCGGGGCACGAACCCGTGTCCCCTGCATCGGCAGGCGGACTCTCAACCACTGCGCCACCAGGGAAGCCCCCCAGATATAACTTTGTTAGCTAGGGAAGCAGGCGTTCATCTTGTTCCTAACTTCATCGTGGAGGCTGAGAATGGGGGAGGTGGGGAATGATACAATACAAGAGAAAAGAGGTCTGTTTTCCCTCTTATATAATGGAATACATCGAGGCCAGCGATTTTAGTTCCTCTCGATTTGGGAGCCTGGAGAGCATTTGGACTTTTAGTTGCATTCCTCTCGCTTCACCTCAGCCCCTAGAAGGTCATAGGACAAAATAAGATTGACCTCCGTCATCCTCGTTCGCAAATCTCAAGTGTCCAAAGCTCTTTAAGGTACTGACTTGCTAGTGAACTTGAACTGTATTGTGTGCTGGGTCCCATCTTAGGCAGTTTCATCAGTCCATTTCAGGGAGGTTCGTCTTCATGAAAACAGCTGGTCATCTTTTGAAATGAAAGGCAGCACACTTTCTTATGAGGGCCCGACCTTTTTATTTTCCAATGAACTGAAGAGAGATTGGGTAGTGAGTGTATAGTCACCGCTTGGGGTGGGTTTAAGCAAATGCTAGTTTTAGAATGGGATGCTCATCAAAATGGAAAAGCTTAGCTCCCGTGTTTCTCGCTGTGGTAGTCATTCCCTGTGTACTGTAAAGGCCGTTGGGGTGAAAGAAATTTAGCCGCCTTAATGTGCTTGCCCTGAAGTCATGAACTGCTCTTGATTACTGTTTAACATCGTAATGCGTTCAGAGTTCCATTTCCCCAACAAGCCATTTACTTAAGGGTCTGGATAATGTAAACAGGGATGGGAGGTCACGAGAGGTACCGACATTATCCCGAGGCCAGCACTGCTCTACTGAAACGTAACTGTCTCCGAACTGAAAATGTCACCTGACTGCCCCCGGGGAGGTCTTTATGGACATCTCAAGTCAAAGTTGATTTTAAAAATGAATGAAACTCTTATTCCTCTCGAGAATGGAGCGTGAACTGTGGCTCTCTCCTTCATTTCACTTCATGGATGCTCATTTTGTCTCCCCGCCCCCCCCCCCCCCCCGTGTTCCTTTTCCCTCTTCAGGTACTTAAATGTCGTCACCCACCAGTTCGCGGTTCTTTCTTACGCTGAACGTTTCTGTTGGAGGGCGGCAGGTGGAAGCCGAGGAGGGGTGGGGGAGGACTGTGATTAAACTGCTTGTGCTGCCTGGCCCGGGGCAACATTTTTATTTAAAAGTTGAGCTAATTTCTGATATTGACATGAAACTTGAGTGGACCCACTTGAGCGGATCTGGGTGACTTGGTGCTTTTAGGGACCAACATGCCCACCACCTTTCCAAAATGATTCCCTTGATATTTTTCTGACCACAGCAATAGTGTCATTACTGTATTTGACTCTTCTGGTTGCCCAGGAGGTCAAAGGCTCGGGGAAAGCCATTGGCTGCTGCAAAAGAGAGAAATAGGTACCCGAAACCCCAGAAGGCTGAGGTTGGGGGCAACTTGACGGTCGCTTTTCTTCATAGAACCGCAGCCTCACTGCAGTTCTTTTGACATTGCGAGTGGGATGACTGCTGCTCCTTGAGCAGGGGGGCCCCTAACCTGACCCCGGGTCAGACAAAAACTTGTAGAATTGTGCCTCACTCCATAACTATTCGTCAGTTGGCTGCTGTGCCACTCACCCCGAGCAAATTAAGCTACACATGTCCTCTTGGAGCCCCCGAGTCCTCACCCACAGAATGTGAGATGTCGGCAGCTCCCCCTCTGGTCCTTGGGACGTTGAGCTGTTGTCCATAAAGCATGCGCGGGAAGATGGATAAGTCGAGCCTTCTCTGTTAATGGGTGGTCTTCACGAAGTCAGGAGTTTTGCCCTTAACAGCGGCATTTTCTCTCCTGTGGGTCCAGGCTGCTTCGAATGCTGCATCAAGTGTCTGGGAGGAGTCCCCTACGCCTCCCTCGTGGCCACCATCCTCTGCTTCTCCGGGGTCGCCTTGTTCTGCGGCTGTGGGCACGTGGCTCTCGCGGGCACCGTGGCGATCCTTGAGCAACACTTCTCCACCAACACCAGTGACCATGCCCTGCTGAGCGAGGTGTAAGTACCTGCTTCCTTTGAAGACGTATTTAAAGTGCCACCACCCCAGGAGGGTTTCAGGAAGACTGCAGTGTGCTCACCTGGGAGAAAACGGATGCTTTTCATTCACGCTCCCTGGAGGCAGATGGGAAAAGGTCCGGGAGAGAAGGAAAAAGAAAGGGCCAAGAGTGCAGTGGGTGTTCGGGACCTGGGGTGGGATCTCACCAGGGTGCACACATAGGACACTCTGCACACAGTGGCCGAGGGCGACGATGGCAATGGTGCCAATCCTCCCACCAAGAGAGTTACCGTGGTTCCCAAGTAACAGTCGCCCTCCAGTGTTGTCACAGAAAACGGCCAGCCCTGGAATGATGGGAACCCTGGGGAGGACTTAGCCCAACTCTAAGTCTACAGGAACAGGACTTGGACATTCATTCAAGCAGAAGAAAACTCCCCGGGTATCCTCCAGTTCAGAAGAGGGGGCGTTGTTTGTAGGGGTTCAGCCTCAGCCTTCCCTTTCCGGACTCATTCTCAGTGGAGTCACAGCAACTCCCATGCATGGATTCTCTAACCGTGCATGCGTGACAGCAATGAATTTTTTCCTTCGTATATTTTCCCCTTGCCCTTCGGTGTTTTCTTTTTCCTTCCTTGACTACCAGGGTTTGACAGTCTTTAGATATCTTGTGACTGGAAGAAACTTTTCTACCAGACTTTTGAAAAAGGCACGAGTGAATTTTTATGGAATAATAACGGGATCCTCTGGGAAGAGTCCTTAGGGAACTTTATTCTTTTATCTGTTCAGGAAATGATTCCAAAGAAATGAGCAGCAGTGGGGGAGGCTATAAGGAGGATTGAGCAGGACAGTGGACTCGCTGAGTGCCAAATGTGTACAAAAAAGACCAAGAGATATTCACCGTGACTGAGCCTGGGAAAGGTGTGTTAGTTTAATTAGCTGGTGATCTCGATGAGTGGCTCTCAAACTTCCAGCAATCTTTAAAAAAAATCCCCATGTCCATGTTTCACCCCAGACTAATTAAGTCATGATCTCTGGGGAGAGGACGCAGGTACCTGTTGTCTCTAAAGCTCACCAGGTAGTTCCAGTGGGCAGCCAAAGGTTGTCAGCTGCATCGCTGTTGGCTTTCATAGGACAAAATTAGATGTGAATTAACTTTTTGTATCTACTTGATATAGTATCACTTATGACATGAGAATGTCTGTGCAGAAAGCGTTTGCCCACGTTACTCCTTAAAGCAGCCCTCAGTGCTTACTTAGGGGGTTTATCAGAATAACGTTAAGCACTAGGCCTGGTTGGGAGGCATTTTGATATGGTGGAAGGAACACGTCGTCCACTGAACCAGCGTTGAAATCCTGGCTGTGTGTGTTTCCTTGGATGAGTGACTTTAACTCGTCAACGTCTGCATTTATAAGTAATCTCATAAGTACTGAAAGATTCCAACTGGGCCCCTGTGCAAAGGAAACTTCTCCCTTGTCTGGGAAGGTTGCTCACCTTGGAAGAAAGGCTCAGGTTGCGGTGGGCTGGGCAGGGATGCCCACCTGCAACGCCCCATGAGCCCACCGAAGCCATCAGCGGGGCAAGTGATGTCACCCTCATGGCCCCCCTCCAGAGGCCAAAAACGTCTGTTAACCACTTGGACCTTCTTCTTTTCCTAGAATACAACTGATGCAGTATGTCATCTATGGAATTGCATCCTTTTTCTTCTTGTACGGGATCATTCTGTTGGCAGAAGGCTTCTACACCACGAGCGCAGTGAAAGAGCTGCACGGGGAGTTTAAAACAACCGCCTGTGGCCGGTGCATCAGTGGGATGGTGAGTACGAATCTCTGATGACTGATACCCAGCCAGAGCCACACCTCCACGTGTTTCTTTGTATTTGGTAAAAGCTAACAGAGTACGTGCAGAGTCCATGACAGGAGGAGTGTCCGTTCCAACTTAGAGTGAGGAATATGAAAAAACCCTCAACATATTATTGAGGAGAAATTAAAATCTATGGCTGGTAGGATGAAATCAAGCATTTCTCTTATCAACGTCCAGATAACAAGGGTATTGAAGATTTTTCAAAGATAAAGTCCCCACTATGAAAGGAGATAGTTTTCCTATCGTCTCACTGCTCTCCTTCATTTATCTTCGAATATGGATTGTGGCCACGAAGACTCACCCATACTATGATGAATGGTCCCAGTCCCTCTGGCAGTGCTGACCAAGCATGCTTCCTACTAAGCACCTCGCTGGGGACTGTCCTCCAGAAGTTTAGAGCCTAAAGAGGGGGGTTAAGCCGGCTCCAGAGCCGGTCCGCCACCTGTTTTTATCCACCTATGAGCTGGGGAAAAAAACGAAGGAATAGTATCTTAGGACACACGAAATTCTATGCCATTCTAGGTTTGATGTCCATAATAGACTTTTTGGCACCCCGCCACACCCCTTCGTTGACACGGCGTCTGCGGCCGCAGTCATGCTGTAACGGCAGCACTGAGGAGTGTCTGTGACCGCATGTGGCCTGCGGAGCCTGACCCGTCCCCTCTCGGGCCTTTTGCAGGCACTGTTAGTTTGCTGACCTCTGGTCTAGAGGAGGACAGAGCCTAAAAGGGGCTCGTTAAGAGGCAGGATTAGAAAGTGCCGTTTCACAGAAGGAAAGTCCGGGGTGGAGGGAGAGGTGGGAAAGGGGCATTCGTGGAGTTTGATTTGGGGCGCGTTGAAGTGCAGCTCGTAATAGCCTGGGCCGAGCAGCTGGCTGGCATTTGAGCAAGTGGTCGGATGTGACGAAAACACTTGGGGAGTTGAGAGAGACGTGCTCCCACAGAGGCAGAACGCCCAGGCTGGCTAAGGCAGGCAGGAAGGAAGGAAGATACGCACCCTCGCTGCGGGGCCGCGGCTCCCAGGGGGCACCGACTGAGCTCTCTGCTGTCACGAGGTAAGGACGCAGAGCCTGTCTTAAAAGACACGGAGTGCCCAGTGTTCCTAAAAATCCTCCTTAAGGGAGGCACAGAGAGTGTAGGTACTTCTTTGGGCCCAGACGGGAACCCAGGTAGGAAGGGGCTGGGAGAGTGTGCGCTCGTTCCCGCGAGCAGCAGTAGAGCTGTGGGCCCAGGGCCGGGGGGTGGCCAGGGAGGGCGGCAGCGGCACCCGGCGTGGAGGGGGAGGACCCAGCCTGAGCAGAGCAGCCCGGAGCAGAGGCGCTGCGGCCTGGCTGGCAGGGGAGGCTGGAGCCCAGAGGAGGGAAGGGATGCTGCTGCGGAGAGCAGACCGCGGCCAGATCAGGAAAGGCGTGGGCTGCCGGGCTGGGAATGACATCGAAAGACAGGTAGGCTGTGACGGGACCATGCACAGAGGCAGCAACTGGAGGAAGGTGAGCAAGAGGGCATCGATCGTGAGACTCCGGGCTCGTGGGGAGTGAGAGCACAGAAGGGGGCACAGAGGCGAAGCGGGCTCTGGGTCTGCTGTACGGGAGTTGAGCGCGCGAGGAGGGGGCGAGCTGAGGACGCTGCCCGGCGTTGGGGTGCCCGGGTGGGTGCGCGTTCTGAAAATATCAGACGCACAGCGTTTTTGAAACAGCCTTTTCAAAGCTCTCTGAAAAGCAGTAGTCCAAGCAGGTCAGGAAGAAAGGAAAGCCGTATGATCCTGTGCCTGGTGAAATCGCCCGTGGCAGCATGTGGGACAGCACGATGAAGCCTCTTCCCGCGGCCATCGCTGCTGTGGATCTTAAAGCTGAAAAACACAACAGAACAAAACTAGAGGGAAATGAGCATTTTATTAGGTCCACTGTGCACGAAGCTTGTGATCACGGCTATTGTAAACGTAGTGAAGGTGCAAGCATCTAGTGTTTTTTAGTAATTTCACAAGATCATGAAACTAGCCAAGTTCCTTTGGGGAAAGGGCTTCCTGTAGCAATGGCTGTTCTACGGCCCATCCATTATGTAAAAGAAAGGGAATTTAGGAAACTGGTACGGAGTTATAATTCAGTGGCCTGTGAAAGCCTCCAGCCAGTGGTGTTTAGGAGGAGTGCCTGGAGGAGGCCCTGTCACCAACTAGCTCTGTGACCTTGCACAAGGGAGATCCTCTCGTGGCCACTCACGTCCTTGCTAAAAGAGGGACCCGCAAAGTTCCAAGACTTCCCTTGTCACTGCCGTGGTCCAGGCGGTGCTCTGACCGCGTCCTACAGGTTCGGTATCGGCCAGGAAATGCGTCATCACTCCTCCCGGGGGATGTGCTTTGCCCTGGTCGGTGACGATTCTTTCTCCTCCTCCTTTTCGGCCTAGTTCGTCTTCCTCACCTATGTGCTGGGAGTGGCCTGGCTGGGTGTGTTTGGCTTCTCTGCAGTGCCCGTGTTTATGTTCTACAACATATGGTCAACCTGTGAAGTCATCAAGTCCCCCCAGACCAACGGGACAGCCGGGGTGGAGCAGATCTGTGTGGACATCCGGCAATACGGTACTTCCTTTTCGTCTCCTCGATTCGTTGGTATCCTCTTGTGCATGTGTCTGGGCCTTAGTTATTTACATGGGCGTCTAAGCATCCAGATGGGTTTCATCCCTTCTATTGGAAGAGGTTATTATACTCTTTCCCTCAATGTGCTCCATTTTCTGGATGGAAACATCAGTTAGGCTCTAAAGGGTCATTCAAAATTGTTATATTTGCTAGTTCAGGGTACAGTAAAAGAAACTTTTTATAATGCAGTTCAATCAAAAAAGACGTGTGGATATCCACTCTAAAAAGAGTATATATTTTTCCTTCAACTTCTTTTCGGTTTTGTTACCATCCAATTTTCCATCCAGAACATTGCATGCATTGTATAATCCAGTTACTCTGCACCTTCACCTCTTTAAATCAGGTCTTTTTTAAATGACCATATTGCTTTAACATTGAAAAGCAAAACATAAAATCCAGGTGTATTTTGAAGTCATCAGAAGGTACTCTATCAAAGCCAGCTGTTGGAAAAAAACCTGTTCACACATATTTTCTAATGAGTGGGATCCTTACCCTCGGCAGCTAAGCAGGCCACAGAAGGGGCCAGGGCGCCTCCTGTCCATCACTGTAGACCCGACTTCCCTGCTGAGGGAGAGAAGGCAGTTTCAGTAGTGCTTCTGGCCAGGATGGTAGGAAATCCTGTTCTTGGCAGAAACAACTAGGAGGAAAAGAAGAGCTTTTCATTAGAACTGAAGAGGAAATCATTGTTCTTTCAGAGCTTTTCTGCTTCTTATTTTTCCTATCTGGCTTCTCCTCAGCATCTTACCTTGAACCATAATACGAAACTCACCTAAAATTGCCCATCGGACTAATCTCTTCTCATAGAGCCAAAGGCTCACCCACACTGTTCTTTAGTCTCTGTTTTCAGTCCATCCTAAAGTTGATTGCTAAAGTATTTGTAAGTGAATATCTAGATGCATATATCATTTCCGTCTTCTTAAATATTCACTACAAATGTTTGGTCATCATTTTTTAAAAATGTTCTAGATTTGAAACCAGTGGTTTCGTTTCCCATTCCTCTGAAGCAGAAAGACTTACTGTTGCTCCATAGCAAAGACGGAAGGAATAAGGAGTGTTTTGTTAAAATCCTCCCTCCTTATTACCGCCTGGGCGAAGGAGAACTTGACCCATGTCATATTTAAGCACACACCTAGGCATTAACGGCAGAAAGGGCAGCAGCAGCCGCCGAGTGGACGAGGTGCCTGCAGAGGTGAGCTGGGTCCAGTGAGAGACACCACGGGCTGCGCTCTCTGTGCGGAAGGACAGTGGTTTTCCAAGTTTCCAATTGGAGCTTCAATCCAGAAGCATTTCCGAGATACTTGTAAAACACAACAAAAATGAATAGAAAAGCAAAGACACACATACAAAATGGAAACCCAAACTCTAGAACATAATTACTCTGTCGAATGGCCGTGAACCTTTCTGAGCACAGCCTCCCAGTTTCAGAACGGATCTTGGGGTGGACCACTGACATCAAGCTTGAGGGGTGAGGCCGCAGACCATGAAATTCAGGGGGAGATGTGTTGGTTTGGCTTCAGGAGGAGGAAATGCCTGTGAGGGGGGTTGTCCTGCGGCTGTTGAACTAGAGTTCAGGACTGTCAGCTCAACTAATCAAAGCAGAATTTGTAGGGAAAAAAATTGTCTGATTCTCCTATGGACTAGTTAGTTGACTTTGCTCTTGCCCTGTTGTCCAAATAGGACTTTTTATTCCCAAAAGCTTGTTCTACAGGGAGCAGGTACATCAGTTGTTGAAGAACTCAGCCAGTCATTGTGTTGTAACTGCCACTGAAAGTGGTGGGGCCCGCTGAGAGCAGGGGCGCTGGACTTTGCACTAATCACTAAGCTTCTCTTGGGATTCGCTTCTCAGGTATCATTCCTTGGAATGCTTTCCCAGGAAGAATATGTGGCTCGGCCCTGGAGAACATCTGCAACACCAATGAGGTAAACCCCGCCCCCTCAGCGGGCTCCTAGGTGACCACTGGGCAAGAGAGGCTGAGCGAAGGGGTTCTCCTAGGGACAAAGAGCGAGAGAGGGCTCTCTGCCTCCCGTTTTGACATAGAAAATGGCCCTGGTCCATGGCCCAGCCCACTGACGGGGGAGCCTGCGCCATCAGAGAGCTTTCTCTTTTGGCAATAATTCGAGAGTGAGCCCAGTCCTGCAAATCTGAATACGTATGTAGATTCTCCTCTTTCACCTTCAGATAGTGTTTCAAAGTAGGACTCTTGTCACAGAACCAAGGTAAATTTTCAGAGAAGACTGCCCTGAATTTGTTGTATACAAGCACATTTTTATACATTGGCACTTCGTCTCACGTTTCCAGAGAGAGTTGCTCCTGTTTCTTGTTCATCCTTAATTGGCAATAAATCCTGACACACTATGGTTTAAAATCTCTCTGCCCTAGAATAGTCTTTAGGCAGTGGTTTATAACTGTTTATAAAAGCAGATTCTCAAATGCATTCGTGGAAGCTTGCATACTCAAGAGAATCCTGACATGCTTTTGGAAGCCGCGAGCGACTGAGACCGGCAGGGCCCGCCGACCTGGCTGCTCTGCGTGTATGTCCAGGATCAGACTGCAGGCACGCCGGCGCAGTATCATAGCCTGACGCCGGGGCCCAGCCCCCAGCTTCTCCGCTGTAACGGGTCTGGGGTCCAGCCTGGGCCGCAGGAAGTTTGGAAAGCCCCGCAGGTGATTCCAGCACGTGCCCAGCCTTCACAAAACAGCCCTAGAGGAGAAAGAGGGAGCTGCGCCCGGATCGGGGGAGGCCATTTCCTTCCACATAAAATGCTAACGTTGGTGCCCTGTTTTCCTAGTTCTACATGTCCTATCACCTGTTCATCGTGGCCTGTGCGGGAGCTGGTGCCACCGTCATTGCCTTGGTGAGTACTGGCCCCAGGACGGGCCTAGTGCAGTCCCCCGCTTCCCTGCACTCACTCTAATAACAGATTTCCCTTCCAGCCAACAAGCCTGGGACTCGACCTTGGTTCAGTTTCCCCTGTGTAGACTTACCCCATGTCTAGACTGCAGGAAGTACGAGGTGGTGGTCTAGGCATCCATGGTGGGTGATGCAATTTGGATTCTGTGGCAAGAATCAGTTTGCTTCTGTTTAAAGAAAGACATCTTACTGAGTATATATTGCCGACTCCTGAACAGCACTGTAACTCAAACCTGAACGAAGTTTAACACACGTGTTTTCTCCGTAAGGCCCCTCGCCGCCTTCCTGTGCTTAGGGACCCTAGCCAGCCCTGCAGCATGCCGGTGAGGGAATGTGTAAAGAGTGAAATCACAGAAATGCAAACTCCGTGGCACTAAATAGATGATGAAAAGGACGCTGGTTGTTTACAGCCCGAGAGTTGCCACAAGAAGGCAGAGTGGCGCCTTGCTTGCCTCAGCTTTTCCCCCACTCTGCATGTCCGAATGGCCGTGGCAGTGCCCTGAGTCCTGACCTGGGAGTTACAGAGAAATTTTAGCACCAAGGCAAATTCACACATAGGGAGGGTGCAACCACACAGGTGTATGTATGTTTGTGTGTGTGTGTGTGTGTGTGTGTATAACATTTGGGAGGGCGGGGTTTGTGGTGTCGAGAAATCTAAGACTCGTAGAGAAGAGGGGAAATCTCATGTGCTCGGAAATGAGTCCTTCCCACTTTTTCCAACCTTGACGTCATCCCTTCCCCTTCCAGCCAGGGAAAGAACCACCGGCTACATCACTGGGGTGACCTGTTCTCTTCACTGAGCAACAGGCAGGCAGAGGACTAACAGCTGCTGAGTGGGCAGCGTGGGAAAGAACGAGGGCAAACAGGGCTCTTACCCTCATCTTTCTCATGCTGCTCACCCAGCTCCGTTATTTTTAAAATACATCCAGTCTTTTTCATAAACGTACTGACGGGAGAGCAGAGGACTTACTTACACGTGAAATGCCGAATAGGAACGTGTGTGTGTGCCAGCTATGAAAAATCTCCTCTTACGATTATAACTGGGAAAAAAGCAGCACGCCGTAGGCTCTGAGCTGGCACTCATCCCCACCCGAGCTTAGAAGCGTCAGGGCGCCGGCCCTTATTGCCTGTATCTTACTGTCCTGTTCTGTTCTCTTCCACCAGCTGATCTACATGATGGCTACTACATATAACTATGCGGTTTTGAAGTTTAAGAGTCGGGAAGATTGCTGCACTAAGTTCTAAATTGCATAAGGCCAATAAGGAGCTTTAGAGAGCTATACGCAGTAGCATGAAGTATCACTGACCCCCAGACTAAAGCAGAGCCTAGGTTTCTGCAGTTTTGTTCTAGTAATTTGTAAATCACTTTAGTCAACTCATTGTGCATGGTAGATTAATGAAATGACTTACCGTCCATGAACTACAAAATAATGAGATCTGGCTATTTCCACCTTTTGGAAAGGATTCAGTTATGTACTGACATTGGTGAGCAGCCACTGAAAAACTGAACCGAAACTACTTTGAGCAGTAGTATCTCTAAGTATTAAAACTTTGGAATACCTGCATTTTCCTTTAGTTTTGCTTGTCTGATAACCAATTTCAGTGATGAAAACAAGCGCTGAAGATGCAGTGGAGGAGAACCGTTTTCATGGGGATTTGGTCTTGTTAGACTCTGTCTGGAAAATATTTTACAAACAGTCTAAATTTGATTACAACATTATTCTAAATTTGAGTACAACATTTTCTTTATGATTACAGGGCTCACTACCCAATAAATGCCCCTCAAGTAAGCTGTTTTTCTTCAAGTTTTCGTCGGCTTATTTGTTATCTCTAAAAAGATGATTTGTATGTAGTTTTATTTTTACACAACACCATCATTCCTTTCAGAGCCCCCAGAATTGATAACCTCAAAGTGTTGGCTTTGGGTGAGTAGTAACTGATGCCTCATAGCCACTTCTCAAACTGCACGTAAGAGCTTATAATGGGGAGAGTAATTTTGCTTGGATCGGAAAGTCTCAAATATGGCGAGAAGGAACTTGTATATAATATAAGGAACTTGATATGTAGGTGTTGCAGGAAAGATGAGGAAAATAAGCGGGAAAGAAGTGTTTGCCACATCAACTGTAAAGAATGATAATAAAGATTTTGACGTTTTGTGAAATGAAATCATGGCAGTTATAAAGTGAAAACTGTAGTTGCACTACCAAAAATGTGTTAACACAGAGACTGCATGCTGGGCTTCTAGTTCTTAATTCTGGTATTGACATTCACTTCATTTTTACATGTTAAAGATGTAGTTTTATATTATTTACTCAAAATAAACATTGTTCACACTTTCAGGCCTTTGGGGGAATTATTTCTATCCACGGATAGATAGGAAAGCTAGATCTTTGCACAACACTGATTCTAAATAACCCCACAGCGTGTTTCTGAATTTCTACCTTAAAGTTACCCTCAAAATGGTAAAAAGCGCCCTGTCGTATTTCACTTTTGCCTTTTCTTAACAGTAACTTCTTTGGCCATTTTTTCCAAGTTCATTATGTGTGTGTGTGTACTAACTTTTCCTCAGCCTCTTACTATGAAGCGTCTTAGCAGAGCATGCGCTCAGTCTCCGATGCCTCTGATTGATAGCAGAAGGAGTATTAATACGGAATAACCACCTCTCCCTTTTTCCAGTACAGAGCGTCTAATCTACCTCGCAGCTCGCTTTGCCTTCTCACATGCTCACTAGCCATCATGCTCACCCTTCTTTTCCAGATCCACTTCCTCATGATACTGTCTTCTAACTGGGCTTACTTAAAGGATGCAAGCAAAATGCAGGCTTACCAGGATATCAAAGCAAAGGAAGAACAGGAACTGCAAGATATCCAGTCTCGGTCAAAAGAACAACTCAATTCTTACACATAAATGTTTGCCAGAGGGTCTCAGCCGACGAATTTACAGCTGACAAATCATCAGACAGCTGCTCTGCAGTACAGATGTGTACCCCACCAAACAAACTCACGTAGAAGTCCAAACAAACACTTCACTGTCTGTCTCAAGCTGCTGGGATGTATTTCTAGGAAAACCTTCCAGTAGGTAAATCTTTTTCTTTAGAACAGATATTGGAGGTTTCATGGGAGCCATTTTAAAAGGCAACACTTTGACAAAATGAGCGTTCATCATCCGTTTGAAAATCTGTGGCCTGTTCACGATCCTACCAAGACAGGCTGTGAGAATACATCATACCCCTATCTTGATAGGGACCATGCCATACCAGCGTCAGGGGGTGTGACCATCCGTTCTCAAATAGATAAATGTATCTAAAATAGGAGATAAAGTGGAAATGATGTGAAGTTCCATTTCTGACAGACAGCTGACATTTATGAAGCTGGGGCTCAAAGATAAAGTGATCCTTACAATTGACCTTTTTAAAAAAAAATAGCTGACCTCCGCACCCGCAGGACGTATTAATTTCCTGATCCAATCAGAAATCCTTTCTTCCCCAAGAATGTTAAGATGAGCCCACTATAATAATTCTGCTACACCGAGCGTGGAAGAAGCCGGATTTCAACTGACAAACTTTCCAGAATCAACTTTCCAGAATCAATTTTATAATAGATTTCATTTTAATAAAGTGACCCAGTTGTCATCATTCTTGAGAAATGTCAGCTCTGCCTTAATGAGTATTTGCTTTAAATTTCTAAGAACAACAGGCAACCCCAAATCCTTCATAGAATTTTGTTCCACAAGTGTTTTTCTTCATGGAGAAGTGTTACCTTATTAAAATGACCACCACTCAAAACCGTTTTTACGTGGTCTGAATAGTGAGTTTACAGTTTCATACCAACTATATAGCTAAAACCGAATGACCAACAGACCGCACACCACCTACTTTTATACACTTGAATACTGAAGTAATTTCAATTAGGGTTGGTATTTATTTCACTTTTTCTTATCTAAATCTTAGTTTCCTGGAATAATAAAGTTCAGTGTTCAGCAAAAAAAAAACCCAAAAAACCCCCCCACAAAAACAACAACAAAAAAACCCAACTGCTTGAGTTTTAAGCCATCTTCGAAAGAAACTTGCCTTCTAAATCATTGTGTTTCAGAACATTAAGTGACTATAGGTATCGAGTATTAGTGATGGTAAACTTTGTGTTGTTCTTTAAGAAATGATACATATAACTGTTGGGTGCATTAGTGCTTTTCAAAGGGGGCTGCATAATATAGGGTTAACTTTGTATATTCATGTTAAGAATTAACTTGTGGTTTGGCTGTTTCCTGGATTTTAAAACGTATCCATGTGCAGAAATGTGTTAAAATGAGAGGAAGCATACCTTTATCAGATGCTATTAAAATTGAACATCAAGTATAATAGTTCATTTGGATTCTTTTTGTTGGTGTTGTTAATGCCTAAAAAAATGCCTGTTGGGATCTTGACTTTTTTTTTTTTTAATTGGGAGACATTCTCTTCTGTGTAGAACAGTTGTTCCAGAATAGCTTGGTGTTTTGTTTTCCTGTTGCATGACAGACTTAAATATTTTTTCCAGCAGTGGAGGTGCTGTTTTCAGTCCAGTGTTCTAGAAGAGGCAGTGTCTAAAGCCTAATTTTACTTTTCTAATTCTGGTAGCCATTACCAGGAATTTTTGAAAGTTTTGTTTAAGTAGTCTAATATTTTTTATGTAAAGAGCATTAAATTTTGCTATGTATAAATTTTTGTAACCTAACAGTGAATCAATATTTTCTATCAGTGCCAAGGGCTTCCTGTAGTTCAAGTGTTACAATAAATATTTGTAGATAATAGCCAGTACTTGTGTATGCTTATTTTAAAGATCTATTTAGGTGGCAATAGCTGTGGATGTATTAAGAGAAATGAAATAAAAATTATAGCTTCACTCACTTGCCTTTTTACCATACATAAATAGTGTCCTTCTCTGTCCTCGGTATGGTGTCATTTTTAAACAGTGTGCGTAGTCAAGACTCCACATTTGTATGGAGATCAAGTTTCTAACTGCTGCATGTTTCATTTCTGACGGAAACCTCTTTTAAAGCAAGAGCAATTTGAGAAACCACCGTAACCCACGGGGCTGTATTTTACACCAAGTGCCACTCACGCTTTAGTATATAATTTTTCTGACTAGCTTCATACCTGGTTATGGGATTAACACAAAGCTTTAAGTTTGGGGAAAGTGGAAACAATGAGGAACCTTCATAAAGGTCCATGTCCCATTGGCTGTTTGTTTTACAAACCCAAGATCTAGACGTCTACTCCACAGCAGGGTCCTCCTGTGTACAGCACAGGGAACTATACTCACTGTTTTGTAATAAACTGTAAGGGCAAAGAGTCTGAGGAAGAGTAGATATACATAGATATGTACAACTAAATCAATTTGCTGTATACCTGAAACACAGCACTGTAGATCAACTGTACTTCAATTAAAAAACTACTGAGAGAACAACTATTTACAGCAAACAGCCATTCGCTAAAGCAACAGAGCTAAATTTGTTACTTAGTATTTCATTTTATCATCTCTTATCTGTCAGCATGATTATACATTTGGACTTTGTACAGCTGACCTTTCTTAGTAACGACAGGCTTTTGTCACTGTTGACACACTGACGTTTCTAACTGAGGTGCTGCCTCCGGTCATCGCCCTTGATTCACGCTCAGCAGGAGAGCCAGCAGGAGCCCAAGCAGTACGCTGTTGGTCACACTGCTTAATACCTTCTGTTTATGGAGCATTGTGCGCGGTTATGAAGTTACAGAAGACCACATGCACTATCTTAATTACTGACAGCAATCCTGCCACAAAATATAGCAACTCCGGGAGGGTGAAGTAGAGACTTTTCCATTGCTCTAGTTAGACCTTGTGCAACTTGATGTTTAAGAAATGAAAATCAAGTCAGAATTATACAGGAGGGACCTACTCATGTAAACGCCAACAAGCAAAATACTTTAAGTCCATTAAAGAGTGATGACCGAAGTTTCCACACTAGAAGTTTTGAAAAAAATCCTTTTAGGGCTTTCTAATACTATTATAGTCCTAATCCAAGCTAACCTCAGACACTCTGGGTTCAGTTCCAGACCACTGCAATACGGCGACTATCACAGAGTAACATGAATTTTTTGGTTTCCCAGTGCATATAAAAGTTATGTTTACACTATACTGTGTAGTCTAGTAGCATGTGCAGTAACATTAGGTCTAAAAAAACAATATACATACCTTAATTAAAAGAGACTTCATTGCCAAAAATGCTATCCATCATCTGAGACTTCAGCAAGTGGTAATCTTTTTGCTAGTGGACGGTTTGAAATATTGTTAGACTTAACAAAATGTGACACAAAGACACAATGTGAGCAGATGCCCACTGGAAAATAAGCACCGATAGACTTGCTCGACACAGGGTTGCCACAGACCATCAATTTGTAAAAATCATAGTATCTGTGACACGCGATAAAGCAAAGCGCAATAAAACGAGGCCTGCCCGTACTAGGATTTAAAAGAGGCGATCCGCTTTGTTATTACTTATCTTTTCCTAAATGGTGGCAGCTTTTGCCAGCTAGTGCAGGGCTAATTTGTTATTGGGAGTTTGTGAAAAATTACAGATTTAAGGTAACTTTTCAAAATGCGTATTAGGATGAGTAAAACTACAGAAAGTTTTAAGGAAAGAAAAATACAAATAGAG